AAATTTTTAGGCACTGTGTTTGTTTCAAGTTTGAAAAACATGAAGAAAGACATTCCTGAATAAACATCTCAATAGGGAAAAATCAATTTTCTAACCTGCTAGTACTGATAAAATCATCGAATCAACACCAAAGTGAAAACATGTCACACCCACGTTGCTATCAGGAAATGGGTCCCAATTAATGGGTAACAAATACATTTTAACAAATATATTTGCTGTCTGGAAGCATGGCTCTGCTTCTCTGCAATTTTTGAGATTTCACATCCCAAATTAAAAAGCCATTGGATCGGTACACAGTTTTGTTTGGGGAGTGCCAGACCATCATGACTTTGGTTTGGTACACAGATTCTTCAGATGGGCGGGTCCAACCTCTCCTTTTGCAATTCTGCCAAATGCACCATGTTCACCAGCCACACCAAAATACTTTCAATACCTGAACTTACCCTGTTGTTTCACACCTTGACAGTTTAGGTCCCTTCTGCCTACGGTGTCTTTTGGAACTAAGAGGCAGACCCCTTGTTCTTCCACGTGTACATCATTGAATAAATATTGGCTTGTGCTATTTTAATGACATGATTGTGCTGACATGTGTAGGGTATGCATGGTCACCACTAAAGTGAGGATTCCTGACCACAGACATCTGGGTAGGAGGCTGATGTTTCCCAGAGGAAACAGAACTCAGAAGACTGAGGGAAGGGGTATCAACTCTGGATTCCATTTGAGGTTTGAATCAGGAAGGATATGTGAGGATGCTCCTTTGAGTTGTGGGTGTAAAATGGTCTTTGCCTTTTTAGAAAGCTGTGAGGAGTAGTCAGGGAATTATCTGCTTAATGAACTTCGAGGTAATGATTGATGGCCTGTAGCTTGTAAGCCACCTCAAGATCTGTGTCCCCTCTCAGTGTTTATTTCCCTTTTGTTATATTATACCTTGGCGCCATAATGGAATGTTTGTGTTCCTCCTCCCCACCAAAAAATTCACAGGTTAAATCCTAACACCCAATGTAATGGAATCTGGGGGTGGGGCCTTTGTAAGGTGATTAGGTCATAAGGGCAGAGTCCTCATGAGTGGGATTAGTGCCCCTATAAAAGAGACCCCAGAGAGGTCCCTCGCCCCTTCCCACATGTGAGGACATAGTGAGAAGATGACCTTCTATGTATGAACCATGAAGTGGGCCTTCACCATCCACCAAATTTGCCTTGATCTTGGACTTCCCAGCCTCCAGAAGTGTGACACATAAACTTCTGTTGTTTATAAGCCACTCAATCTATCACATTCTGTTCTAGCAGCTGGAATGAACTAATACATTTGGCCTTTGGGAAATTCTTCTAGCCCAGCTTCATTTATGCTCTAGCAGCAAAGGAAAAAGTCCTCTGTTTTCTCTTAGGAAGGAAGAGCAATGAATTAATAAGATAGATCCAGTAGGAAGAAAATGGATTAATAAGATAGATCTAAATGGGTAAATTTATCATTAGTGGAGTTTTATAAAATGTGGCTGCTACATTGGTTCTAAGAGTTACCTTGAATACAGGTCTGTAAGTACAGCAAAATGGTTTGTGACATTTTCCTAATGGCCTCAAAGTAAATACTAGGGTTGTCATCTAAGTATGCTGCAGTTTTAATTATATGCCTGACAGTAAAAGTTATTTCTTTTTTGTTGTACTGCAGGAAAAGCCTATGCATAGATTAGTGCCTGATGAACACCAGTTAAAAGTAGTAAGGTTCCCAGGGCAAACTCATAAAGAGCCAGGGTAATGAGCCTCTGTGGTTAACCCAACCTCTCTCTTTCGTGGCTGAGGCATTTCAACATTCCCTTTATGGCCAGCACATTCATTAACCAGTAGAGCAAGCAAACAGGTCGCAAGAGACTGGACAGCCAAGTGTGTTCAATTCTGGAGAGTCCCCTTTGGGACCATTCAAATTTCTGAAGCTTATGACCAACTGGGGTAGCTTTACATTGCAGAAGCCCTGCTCAACTTTGCTCAGAGAAGGTGCCCAGATGTCCTGCCCCCTTTACCCTTCTAAAGCTGAAGCTGTGAAGGAATGAGAGGCTCTGAGCTGTTTGACACTGAACACCAGGTATTATATGGTCTTTGTATTCTCAGTGCCTGGCAAAGAAATGCTTTAGAACTGAACTGACCAGGTACCCTTGGGGCTGACATAAATCATGGCAGATCCTAGATTCACATGAGCATTGAATTGAAGTGGAACAACTTGAACTACCAAATCTGTGTAGCTTGAAATCATCTTGGTAAGCTTACATTACACACAGGATCTGCACCATCAGAAGATACTAAACAGTTGGATTTTAATGAAGACACAGTAACCCATGGTGTGGCAAGTGGTTGCTAAATATTTTAAGTGTATTTTTAAATAGGAAAATTCCTTCATAGGCTTGTAGGAAAAAGAAATCCCAGCCTAAGTGAGTTTTCTACCATGGGAAAAAGGTTAAAAGGCAGTACAAAAAAAAAAAAAGAAAACAGAGGATGATTGACTAATTTCAGAAAGCAGATGTTGTAAACAATGACATGCTAACCACCAAAGTGCAAAACAGGTATGACTGCCTTCATATAGATTATCTTAAGCATTGTTTTAATTTCATCATGCTGAAAAGAAAGGCATGTTTTCTTCTGTCCCAAGTTACAAATCCTTTCTTTTTTTTTTTTTTTTTTTGAGACGAAGTCTCACTCTGTCGCCCAGGCTGGAGTGCAGTGGCACAATCTTGGCTCACTGCAACCTCTGCCTCCCAGGTTCAGGCAATTCTCCTGCCTTAGCCTCCTGAGTAGCTGGGATTACAGGCATGTGCCACCACGCCCAGCTAATTTTTGTATTTTTAGCAGAGACGAGGTTTCTCCATGTTGGTCAGGCTAGTCTCACACTCCTGACCTTGTGATCCACCCACCTCGGCCTCCCAAAGTGCTGTGATTATAGGCGTGAGCCACTGCGCCCGGCCACAAACCCTTTCTCTTGAAAAATATTAATTGATCTCCCTTCTTTGTCTAATTATATATCAAGTTCCCACAAAAAGTTAGTCTTCTTCTTCTTCTTTTTTTAAATTGCCCAGGCTGGAATGCAGTGGCATGATCTGGGCTCACTGTAATTTCTGCCTCCTGGGTTCAAGCCATTCTCCTGCCTCAGCCTCCTGAGTAGCTGGGAATACAAGCACCACCCACCAAGCCCAGCTAATTTTTGTATTTTCAGTAGAGATGGGGTTTCACCATGTTGGCCAGGCTGGCTTCGAACTCCTGACCTCAGGTGATCCACCCGCCTTGGCCTCCCAAAGTGCTGGGATTACAGTTATGAGCTACCATGCCCAGTCAAAAAGTAAGTCTTTTAAACAGCACTTAAAATATGATTCAGTGAGTATCTACCTGAGAAAAAAGATGCACAACTGTCTTCTATAAAGGACGGAGCACGATATGGTACTAACATTAGTTCCTTTGCACTTGATTTTCTTCCCCTAATCACCATCTCACCATTATTTCTCTGACTAATTGCTGGACCAGTGTGCTGCCTCAGTTTTCTCCGTAATAATACTGTCCATTCTTACAGGGTACTGCCAACTGCCCTAACCCAATGGTTTCTAATAATTGTTTACGTGAATAGCTCAGGGAGAGATTCCCTAATAAAAGTTCTAGAGTCACACTGGAGCCTACTCCATGCTCTATGTCTTACCAGCTGTGTGCCCTCAAGCCAGTTACTTAACTTGTGCCTCAATCTCCTCATTTGGAAAATGGAACAGTACTATCTGCCTCTTAGGCTTGTTGCAATGATTAAGACTCTTCACTAGAACTCCCAGAACAGTGCCTGGCACAAAGAAAGAGCTCAATAAGTATTCGCTCAGTATTGTCCTCCAAAGTTACTATCCTCATTTTATAGCTGAGTGGATAGAGGCCCAGGGAGGTTGAATGACTTGCCCGCTGTGTTTTAGCCATTTGGTGGACACTCAGGCCCAAGTGTGCTGGCTGAGACAGGGTGCTTGCCTGGGTTACTTACCTTTAGGTGAGTGGGAAATGCTCCTAAGTACAGTGTTGTGGGAAGAAAGGACTATATGACCATGATCAGTTTTGCATATTAAAGATTGGAGCTTCTAAGGAGAGATGTAAGAAAGTCAATGAGGTAGACTCAAGTATTATTCTTCTTTTAAGCTTTTCCTGGTGGAACTGTTCACAGTCATATTCATGTGACAAATAGTTACTGGTGCCTACTATGGGCTAGAAGTAGAATCTATGATAGGCATGGGGGTACAGCTGAGGATAGAAATAGACACAAGGGCTGGGCACAGGTGGTTCACACCTGTAATCCTAGCATTCTGGGAGGCTGAGGTGGGCAGATCACCTGAGGTCAGGAGTTTGTGACCAGCCTGGCCAACATGGTGAAATGCCATCTCTACTAAAAATATACAAATTAGCCAGGTGTAGTGGCAGATGCCTCTAGTACCAGCTACTTGGGAGGCTGAGGCAGGAGAACTGCTTGAACCAGAGAGACCTAGGCTGCAGTGAGCCAAGATCATGCCTCTGCCCTCCAGCCTGGGTGACTGAGTGAGGCTCCATCTCAAAAAAAAAAAGAAGAAGAAAAAGAAAAGAAGGCCCTACTCCCATGATGGAGGAGATATTTGATATTTTCTGAGTCTAGGGCCCAACCCTTCAATATAGACTTTCTCTGCCAGGTACCTGCACATTTATATGGATGAGCAATACATAAGTCATGCAGAAAAATTGGTGTTATCGCCACACCTCAGTAAGTAAATCTATGTGCTTAAACATGTTTTTCAGTATTTTGCTGTTGGTGCTTTACAGCAAGTAAGACTTTAACGTAGAGACTATTAAAAAAAAATAAATCTATTGAAGTTTACCCATTAAAGAGAATATGCAACTTTAAAGTCATTTACATAGGAGGGTTTATGACTATTCTCATGATACTCCTTAGCTCATGGCATTTGAGGGATGCTTTCTTTCAGCTATACTTATCTTCAGAGGTAGTTTAGAAACACACAAAAAAATCAATCTCATTTTTTTTAATAGTGACATCTTGTTTTTGTTCAACATAGCATTTTCCAGGTTGATCACCCAAACTTGCAGAAAGTGGCTTTGAATGCTTTTAAAAATAAAATTCATTTCCCCAAGATGAAAGTTTGCCACTCAATGGAATATTCTGACCAGTGGGTGCCAGGCTGTACCTGCAACTGAAAAAAGGGAGCTTGTGAAATTCATTGTTGTGAGATATTTGTGTGTAGCCTCCCATAATGACTATTGTTAATTTGTATAAGCCAGCCCCATTGTTTGTTAGAAAACCAGTCCCACTACTTTATGCCATCTCTTAGATTATATAAAGTTCTTCCCTTTCCTTTTAGAAAATAAACTGTTTGGGCCGAGCATGGTGACTTACACCTGTAATCCTAGCACTTTAGGAGGCTGAGGTGGGAGGTCAGGAGTTCAAGACCAGCCTGAACAACATGGTGAAACCCCGTCTCTACTAAAAATACAAAATTAGCTGGGAGGCTAGACAGGAGAATTTCCTGAACCCAGGAGGCGGAGGTTGCAGCGAGCTGAGATGGCACCAACTGCACTCCTGCCTGAGACGGAGCGAGACTCTGTCTCAAAACAAACAAACAAACAAACTAAACTCTTTGAGTGGGTACCTAATGTTCTTCACATGATATAACCTCCAAAACATCTCAGTTGGTGGGAATGATCATCACAGTAACTGGAAAAGTAGATTCTAATGTGGGTTGAAATCTTGACTACTTGATATCATGCCTCAGAAGGGAAAATAAAAAAGAAAGAACAAGGTTAAAGTCAAACTATTTGGGACCACTAAAGTACTGAAAAGAATAGCTATTGGAAATTCCAAGCTCAATCAGTACATATTTCTTAAATATCAACAATTTATTCCTCAAATCATTTTCAAAACTAGTACTTCTTTTTATCCTCCTAGAGGCAATGCAATTCTTCCATTAATATCTTCATGACTTGAAATTTTCAGAATAAAAGTCAACAAGATAAAAGTGTAAGAAAAGGCAGATGCTACCCAAGGCTGTGTCACAGGCATGTCCTTAATCTTGGTAAAATACAATTTCTAAATTGATTAAGATCTGTCTCAGATACTTTTGGGTTCACAGAATGATATTAAGAAAACAACAGGATCGGGGGAAGACGGCCGACTAGGAACAGCTCAGGATTGCAGCTCCCAGTGAAAGTGCAGAGGGTGAGTGGGCGCCGCATTTCCAGACGGATTTTTATTGCCCACAGACCAGGAGATTCCCAGGCGGAGGAGCCCCACGGGTCGCCAGCGCGGCTGTTTTGGCCTGCACGGCTGCTTTGCCGGCGCCCTGGCGTGGTGGTTCCCTGTACAAAAGACACTGGTCCAGGTGCCCTCTTAGCTGGCGATTGGAGCCCTGAGATGGCAGAGTTGCCCATTCATCTGAAATAGCGAGCCAGGCCAGGAGATTCCTAGGCAAAAAAAACCCACCAGGAATCTCAGCGCCGCTGTTTCAGCCAGCTCAGTGAGTCGCGGCATGGGAGATCCTGGCGCCTTTTCAACAGGTGACTGGAACACTGGGACAGTCGACTGTTCAATAACAACAACACAAAAAGACTCTAAGTCAGGGAGCCAGGTGATCAGGCTCCCACCCCCCACCCCACAGACAAAAAACCAGTAATTGAAAATGCTCTGGGTTGAGAGTTTCACAGCAAGCACAGCTGAACCCGGAATGGTCCAGCTCTGTGGGGGAGAGGTGTCCGCCATTACTGAGACACTCCACCACTACGGAGGCAGTCTGACCATCGCTGAGGCAGCCCGCTGTTGCCAAGGCAACCTGCCACTACAGAGAGAGTCCGCCATAACAGAGGTGGGCCACCATTGCCAAGGCAGTTCTAACTACACCCATATAAACAGGACTGCAGGGAAGATCACACGGCAGCTGGGCGGAGCCCACAGCAGCTCAGCAAAGCCTCTACAGGCAGACGGTGACTAGGCTGCCTCCTCGCTGGGCAGGGCAGCCCTGAAAGGAAAAAAAAAAGGCAGTAGCACAACAGAAACTCATAAATAAAGCCCTAACTCCCTGGGACAGAGCACATGGGGGAAAAAAAGGGAGTTTATGAGTTCTACTGCAGCAGACCTAGATATACCTGCCCAGCAACTCTGGATGAACAATGGAGCTCACAGCTCAGGACCTGAGCTCCAATAAAGGACCGACTGTCTCCTCAAGCAGCTCCCTGACCCCCGTATATCCAAAGAGTCACCTCATAAAGGAGAGAACAGACTGACATTTGGCGGGCATCCTACTGGGACAAAGATACCAGAAGAGGAAACTGGTAGCAACCCTTACCGTTCTGCAGCTGCTGCAGGTGATCCCCCGGCAAGCAGGGCCTGGAGTGGACCTCAGCAGTCCTACAGCAGAGGGGCCAGACTGTCAGAAGGAAAGCTAAGAAGAAGAAGTAACTTCAGCATCCACAAACTGGAAGTTCACTCAGAGACCCAATCTGAAAGTCGGTAACTACAAAGACAACAGGTGGATAAACCCACAAAGATGGGAAGAAGCCAGCGCAAAAAGGATGAAAACACCCGAAACCAGAACACCTCTCCTCCGAAAAGGGATCACAACCCCTCACCAGCAAGGGAACAAGGCTGGATGGAGAAGGAGTGTGATGAAATGACAGAATCAGACTTCAGAAGGTGGGTAATAAGAAACTACAGCGAGCTAAAAGAACATGTTCTAACCCAATGCAAAGAAACCAAGAACCTTGAAGAAAGATTTGATGAAATGCTAACGAGAATGGACAACATAGAGAGGAATATAAGTGAATTGATGGAGCTGAAAAACACAACA